ATTCAAGTTTCAAAACTTTTTGTTTCATACACATACATTCTCCAGCAATGCCTTGGTGTGTGGAATGAGCCCTGGCATTTTCATTGCTATTGCCTCTATATGCCTAAAAACATGTCTTTATATGCTTGGAATTTGAGGATTCGGGTCGAAACCATCCAGGGGCAGCGTGATGCGTAATGACGTCATGCGCGTTCACGCTAAGCTGTAGCAGCGATAGCTACTTGTGTTATTAGTGCATCTGCAGAGCGAGAGGTGACTGTGGGAGGATGGATACAACGAAGAACAACAAGAGACCGGCTTCAAGCAGCGCCGAAACTCCAGCAAAGACCCAAACTAAAGCAAAGAAACGGAAAATTATTTCTAGTGCGACCAAAAGGGCGAAACTAGAGTCTGACCGCAGTAGGCAACAAACGAGGGTAAACCTTGGATTTGCTTTTGAGAGGTGGAAAACTCTGAGAGAACCTCTGGGCATGAGAAAAGACCCACAGTTGGCATCATTTCTGCTTGAAAGGTAAGACATTATCTCTAAACACATGTGTTTATGCTTTCAAAGCAGCGGTGTCCGTGCATCGCAAGCTACTGAGAGAAATACTATTTTTTGTCTGCAACTAAGTTTTTATTTGTGGAAAGTGCTCAGAGCGAGACAATGATGGGTCCTTTTCAAAATACTATCTGTAATACACAGTTCTAGCAAGATCTCTGCGTCAAACTAACACACTAGCTAGCATTAGCTGGCAAGGCTAAGTTTGTTACAAACGGGGCTTTTTTTTCTTTCTTTTTTTTAGAACTAAACCACCGACAGCTTCAGCAAAGCTCTCGTTGTTTAGCTAAGAATGAGAGGGTTACGAACATGTTCCCGTTTAAATGTCTGCACATTGCAATCGCAATAGTAACTAGTTAGATGTAGAGCGTGTTGACTTTTCTAAACATGTGTTATTGTAACTGCCTCATTGCAATACTTGATATTGCCATCATTAGCAGTAACAGTGGCTCTATTGTTCTAGTTTTGAGAGGCACACTATCAAAGGGACCACTCACGTCCACACCCCATGGCCCCTCAGCTAAAGTGTCGCTGGGGCCCCATCCCCCCAGAATCTGATTGGTAAGTTTGCCAAATGCAACTTCTGTTTTCAGGTTACCACTCATCCACCGTCAATACAATACAATTTATTCTTGTATAGCCCTAGGTCACAACAGAAGTCATCTCAGAGACTTAACAAAACCATTGAAATCACCAACACAGGTCAGAGAATCAACAGTTAAAACACATGAAGAATATATAAAGTACACACAGAAGAAAATGTCCATACATGTTGTAGAATGCTAAAGTGTCCTGATCATCACCAATCCTTTCTGTTGGACACTAACTGTCCAACAAGACCCTCCTGCATCGACAAGGAAAAACTCTTAAAAAACCCAGTGGGAAAAAGTGAGAAACCTTGGGGAGAACTAGGGAAACCCACAGGGAGGGAGACCCATTTGAGAAAGGGATCCGCTCCTCCGGACGGACAGGCTAATGATCTAGGACCTAAGCTAGCTACAGAACGTGGACCAGTGGCCGCTGAACGTGGACAGGTCCGGTGCAGGACTGAAGCACTCCCAGGCGGGTCGGGCGGGGCAGTCCGCAGGTGTAGATGGAGGAGGCCAGGCTCAGAGATCCAGTCATTGTACCATGAAACAGACAATGGGACAACGGGTGAATAGCAATGAACAAACTACAGTCAAAATCCTAATAATGCTAAACAGATAAAGTAGGAAGGAGAGGATAGTGCTCAAGTTACCATACTTCTCCAGCAGGGGGCTCCCTATGCAGCTTGACTGACAGTCTGAGGAGTTTAGCCTTCCCTGAGTCTTACCTTCCTAGCCATATGCTAAACTAAAGAGGGCTGTTTTAAACCTAGCCTTGAATAAAGAGAGCGTCTCTTAAAGGAGGTGAGACAGCAGCAGCCACGGCTAGGCTAGGCTAGGCTACAGCACCAAGATTCATGGACTGCACACCAGGTGTGCAAACCTAATTATATATCATATATATCACATGTACCATACATACCATATATATCATATATAATACATAACATAACATACAGCATAATATATAACATAATATACAACATAACACAATACACAACATAATACATATATGTTCAACTGAAGTCTTTTGTCCTACAGGGAAGACTTTCATATCACAGGAGTTGAACCTCTGACAGCAAATAGGTTACAATCGTTGGAGAAAAGGTAAACATGCATGAATTTTATCATTTGATAAATACTGTTTTTTTGTAATGAATGTAAAACGTCTTTTATTGTGAAGCAGCAAATCAATGGAGCTGAATGATGACGCTTTAGATGGGGAGCAAGCCAATAATATTGAACAGTGTGTAAGTTGTTCGTTATTCTCTATGTAATTCAATGTGTATATGTTGGTACATAATTTACATATTGGGCTGTTCTTTTTTTAATTCCAGAATAGAGTGTGAAGAGGAAGTTTCAGACCCGATATGATTCAGATTATGTGCCACCAATCTCATTAAGGTATGTACATTTTTTTTTTACATTTTCTTTTCTCTTTTCACTCACTGATAGCATAAATTTCATTTGTCTTGTAAAATAGCGGTGCATCGCAGGATATGGTCAACAAACTTCCTTGCATTGGGCTGGAAGAATCTATATTACACAATGCTGACTGTGTTGAGGAATGTCAAAAAGCAGATCTGGAAGAAGAGGCAGCAGCCACCATTCCCATTTTCCCAAAACCATATGGAGTGGTTGTTGAAAGTGACCTTGTAAACCAGCAGGCATGCATAGCATACAACAAACATCTCTGCAGAGGCAACTTTCCTCCAATTGTCTGTCAATAAATGCCACTGCAGTGACCACACAGGCACAGAGTGTGACGGCCGTCCACCCTTTTCTGTAAAGTCACGTGCGTGAGGTCCATCTTTGATATTGGAGTGGGTGAGTTTACATGGTTTGCACATGTGTTTACCAGACTAATTACAAATATGGTATATGTGTGAAGTTACAGACTTGTTAACACTTTCTTCCCCATATAGTTTTGACCGCACAGCCATAAATTATGGAGTTTATGCACGGAGGAGATTTTATGTTGTTCTCCAATATTTCCCTCTTATTCAAATTCATGAATATCCGCATGGTGCCTCCTCAACATCTTCTGCAGTCCAGGGAACCTACTGTCTAAAAACAATAACGCAGTTTTGGGAGGAGAAAAGGACTGCTATCATCAACAGATTAGTCCAAAGACAACGTGGTTGCCCTTGGTAAGTAACATATTCATTTCTAAGCCCGTGTATACGTATGCTTACATGCCTTTTGTGTTTATGTTTTAGGTGACGGGAGGATCTACTTTCCAGGTAATGCACAAAGCTCTGTGGCATTTCATTAATATCGGTTTGTTGTCATTGAAATGTTTGTTTTTCATTATTATTTCCCCCACAATCTATATATTTTTCCAAAAAGGTCACTCTGCTATGTGCTGTGCGTGCACAACGATGGAAGCGTTTTTGATTTACTTATGGCGCCTATGAAGTTCGTACACTCCTCGCTGCATTAGACTACAACCTCCATAACCATCGCCCAGTGCATGTGAGCAGCAAAGGCCAAGTATCGTAAGTCATAATTTATTATCAAGATTCAGTATAAAAGCAATAAAGACAAATATTATTTCTACTGATGTCTACAGAAAAAGTCTCAGTGTTACGCTGTGAAGGAGACTAAAGACTACAGCTCTATCCCAGACCAGCGCCTCAGCTCTTTTCTGGGGAAAAATGTAAGCAGATGACCCCAGGGCCATGGGTCCTCTGTCCTCATCATCCCTCCTCCTGCAGCTGAACTGGAGCAGACACAACAGAGGACAGGTAGTGATGATAATCAAGTGGGAAACAAATCTCTCTTTTTCATAGGACTTTATCTGGTCCCTGAACAGAGGCTGACAGCAATCAAAGATGGACACATCACATTTACAGTGCCTTGCGAAAGTATTCGGCCCCCTTGAACCTTTCAACATTTCGCCACATTTCAGGCTTCAAACATAAAGATATAAAATTTTGTCATGAATCAACAAGTGGAACACAATCATGAAGTGGAACAAAATGTATTGCATAATTTAAACTTTTTTAACAAATAAAAAACTGAAAAGTGGGGTGTGCAATATTATTCAGCCCCTTTACTTTCAGTGCAGCAAACTCAGTCCAGAAGTTCAGTGAGGATCTTTGAATGATCCAATGTTGTCCTAAATGACTGATGATGATAAATAGAATGCTCCTGTGTGTAATCAAGTCTCCGTATAAATGCACCTGCTCTTTGATAGTCTCAGGGTTCTGTTTAAAGCGCAGAGAGAACCATGAAGACAAAGGAACACACCAGGCAGGTCCGAGATACTGTTGTGGAGAAGTTTAAAGCCGGATTTGGATACAAAAAGATTTCCCAAGCTTTAAACATCTCAAGGAGCACTGTGCAAGCAATTATATTGAAATGGAACGAGTATCAGACCACTGCAAATCTACCAAGACCCGGCCGTCCCTCCAAACTTACAGCGACTTGCAGCTGTAATTGCAGCAAAAGGTGGCGCTACAAAGTATTAGCGCAAGGGGGCCGAATAATATTGCACGTCCCACTTTTCAGTTTTTTATTTGTTAAAAAACTGAAATTATCCAATAAATTTCGTTCCACTTCACGATTGTGTCCCACTTGTTGTTGATTCTTGACAAAAAATTTAATTTTTATATCTTTATGTTTGAAGCCTGAAATGTGGCGAAATGTTGAAAAGTTCAAGGGGGCCGAATACTTTCGCAAAGCACTGTATATTGGTGAATATTGTCATTGTATTTATATTATGTCAAATATTTAAAAAAATCCCAAACATTGAAATAAAAGAACGACTTCTTTCTAAAGTGGTGATGAGTTTCATTTTAGTTTTGATTCCCTTCTGTGGAACGAATAAAGGGGCGTCTTTATAACCCACATGTCCTGCTCTTCTCATTCTAGCCTGGCCTCTCCTCTGGCTGCTCCTCTTCCTCCTCTTGCTGCTCCTCTTCCTCCTCTTGCTGCTCCTCTTCCTCCTCTGGCTGCTCCTCTTCCTCCTCTTGCTGCTCCTCTTCCTCCTCTTGCTGCTCCTCTTCCTCCTCTGGCTGCTCCTCTTCCTCCTCTGGCTGCTCCTCTTCCTCCTCTGGCTGCTCCTCTTCCTCATCTTCTGGCTGCTCCTCTTCCTCATCTTCTGGCTGCTCCTCTTCCTCATTTTCTGGCTGCTCCTCTTCCTCATCTTCTGGCTGCTCCTCTTCCTCATCTTCTGGCTGCTCCTCTTCCTCATCTTCTGGCTGCTCCTCTTCCTCATCTTCTGGCTGCTCCTCTTCCTCCTCCTCCTCCTCTCCCCCATTCAAAGTCACTGCTCTCAAAAACTACAGATTCAACTGGACTGGAGTCCTGGAAGGAAAAGCAAAAATATTTAGATGTCACTGTTCTGGAATGTGTGTTTTGTACAAACTTCATCAAAAAATATTTTGAATTTATCAGAAGAGTTGATATAGTTTTATACCTACAGACGACTTGTGTAGTATTAGTAGCAGACTAGTGTCAGTAATAACACTAATAAAAACAAAACAGTAACAGTGGTAATTATGCTGTATTTTCTATGGGAATAATAATGTTGCTAATGTTAGCTTGTCTTGTTTGCAAAATAAGAGTGACTTCACTGATTTATGTTTATGAGTAGTAAATATACCACAAAAAGTCTCATGCTACGCTAACCTTATAAGGCCCAATGAAAAGATGATTTTGGCTTGTCATAGAAGCATTTCTATCTGTGGAATTGTATTATTACAGTTAGACACTTTTTTGTTCCCCTTTGAAATGTTGTTCATTTGTGTGAATATAATGTGGCTTCAGGCTTTTGATAATTCACTTTGCTTTACATTTGCTGAAGTATCAGATCTTGGAAAATATCCACATTGATTTGGTCTAAATATCATACAAAACAGTAACATGTCTTACCTCTGTTGAAGTCATCCCCGCAAATCTGTAACTTATCGAGGACAGGACCATATCAGCTGCTTATGTTCTGTTCCTCGTGCACGCGCCTCTCATCCAGGCTGCAGTTACACCTCTGGCCAGAGGGGGGTTCGTGAGGACAAATATAGCAAACTCCGTAAGGCTCCTTTAAACGTTTTTAAACACAATTAGTGAATAAGTTTTGAATTATTATGTTTTTCTAAATCCAAAGATTAGTACAAAAAAGCTTTGCTTTTCTTTTTAAATCAGCTGCTTATTTTTTCAGTCCATTATTGTATCTGATATATTTCATAAGTTTGTGAGAATTTTTTCATGAATTTTTATTTTAGTTTCAAAAGCCGTTTTTAAAACATCTAAATTAGAATCTGTGTTAAAAGTGATTATTGATCATAGACTTTGTCTAAAAAGAAAGAGGGAATTAGGATTATCTGTAAAAGTATTATATTGAGTTAAACTCTACCCAATTCACCCAATTCACATTGCAAGCGGTGACTTTTTTTGTTTTGACTACACGCCTGACCTTCTAATGCAGGTGCTTCGAGGAGTCTGGAGACACACAAAATGTTTTTAGTAGTAGGGGAACCCCAAAAACCGACAGACCACATGAGACACAACCCCAAACAAACCATAACTCCCTTGCTGTGAAGCAACAAGCGCTAACCACTGCACCGTCATCCTTTGATGCAGATATCCATCCAATGCCCGTGGAAATCATAGAATATTCCACATTAAAAGGGATTAGCTGGATGAAGGCCCTGTACGAAATGAAGACAAGGGTGAAATGAAATTTCAGATAACCAACCACCTTTAATCGATTATACTTAATCCAAAAAGGTTCTTATTCTTAACTGCTACTTTCTTCTTGTAACCCACACACAACCACTCAAGGATCACATGTATTGTAATACGCAGTGCTACCACCACCCATTTCCTGATCTGTATGTGCGTTCCAAACAACATCCTTCTTCATATTCCTTCTACTGTATATACATGTACTTGTGAAGGAGTCACACGCAGTGTCTCATAAACTCAGTGTGTATAACATGAAGGAATGAACACACAATTTTAAGTTTCATGTTTATTCATCTGAAAACTACTTTGTAAAATACAATGCACCAGTTCATGGCTCCAAATTTGTGTTTTAGAACACTTCAGCTCTCAGGAAAAGATTATTTATGCTTCAACTATTGTTTAGTCAACATTACTGTTACAATGCAAACGTGAGCATTTTCGGGCTAACAACAGATATGTATTCTGAACTATGAAACTATGATTGACGTTTGTTGGGCATGTGTCTTGTGCATAAAGGCCAGCCTTGAATGCTTCTAATGAAGGGTTCTCCTCAGCTGAGAAGGGCCCTCATAGAAGTAGAGTGGTTGTGAGTGAGAGGAAGAAGGATTGCTCTCAATGTTTCCACCCATGGTTATACACACAACCAAACCATAACTCCAATCCTTCAGGAGCAAACCGACCACCTGTCGTTGGTATAGCTTCAACAAGATCACATATTCATTCCTATGCTCTGCTTATGCCAAGTCTGCAGGTAAACCTTCACTCAACATGGACTCACACATGAGGCCAGCTGGGCCTTATCCCCAAGCATGTCAATCCACCAGCCCCATCCTCCCACACTGACAGCTGTAGATAGCTCAAAGCTTGCCAGCGGGTACCCACCAACGTCTGGATTGAACAGGGACCTTGATACTCAAAATGCACAAATAAACACAACTCATCATTCTGAGTAGAAAACCCGGCTCGCAATTTCAAAAAAACTAAGGGATGAAAAGGCAGCAATCGGAGAGGGGAAGAGCTATGATTTGAAATATTGATGCTTGTTGTAGTCACGTGTCGTCTCGCCGAGTCAGACGTAAATATAAGTGACGACCGAGTAGTAGCCGACGGGGTGTAAAAATAGGGCAAAGTGGAGTTAAAGCATGAATGCTTTAATGGCACGCAAACATGGTGTGAAAAATTAAAGGAGTTGTGCGAAGGACAATGAGAGAGATAGGGGTAGAGCTGAAGCTGAAGCCAAAGGCTAGTGTGACATAAAACATGAAAAAAAGTTACAGAACGTAGTTGTTGAACTTAATTTTAACGTACAACATAATGTGTATTTATTTAAACTGATGGATCATGTAGAGTACTGGTTTAAATATTAAGGTTTAAAGGTCTTTTAATGAGCCAAAGGATGTTAAAGAGTATATTGTGTACTGCTTAATTATCTGGTATGTATCAGCAGTTGATAAGGAGACATGTCGAACATCATCATGTGTCACCTCTGACCAGGGCTGGACTGGTCCCAAAAAACAGTTTGGGACATGTGCCTCTTGACGGCCTGGGCCTTTTTATTAACAGTTATTTGTACAGTATGCGGGAGACATACAGTAGAGGTGTATGGCAGTTCAACACATTAAAAGTAGTACTAGAATTTAATATGTGCTATCCGAATATATAAAACTACAATTATGTGGTTTATTAATTTCGGGTGTTCATTTTGACATGTTAGATGATTATGTTAAAAAAACGGCTTTGAAGTTGCACCTTTTTAACATTAGCAGCAGCACTCTTAGATGGGAAACTGTAGGAGTTTTGTACATAATAGTGTGCAACTCTTTTAACCTTTTAGCTTTATTTGTGAGACTCAAGCTAATTAGTTTTATGGGCAAGTTAGCTAACTCTACTTGATATCATAAAAATGTACAGGCTAATATTTGTTTTAACATTATGCCAGTCTCACTTTGTTACCTTAGATTTAATTACCACAATGTACATTGTGGTAAATAAATCTAAGGTAACAAAGTGAGACTGGCATAATGTTAAACATATTAGCCTTGTAAGCATGTTTTATGATATCAAGTAGCGTTAGCTAACTCATGCCCAAAAACTAATTAGCTTGCGTGCTCACAAATAATTTAGTCTGTGGTTACTAGTGATGGCAATATGAAGCCCCATGAAGCCTTGAGGGATCGCAGCCTATTACTCGGCCCATGAGTCGAAGGCTCGAGGTGAATCATGCTCCACTACGCCATCATGTGGACAAAGAAATACATAACACTCTTAAGTGCTTACAATGAATGGTGAGATCTAATGTTAAAATGAATATTTACAATCTATGGTCTAACGTGTTGTGTTTGAAATGATGCTTCATGATAGGGATGTAAAAAATTATGAATTTTCATGACCGACCACCGAGCCTCATTAACCGGTTGAAACCGGTTAACCGCGTAGTTTTAAATATTCCACGTTCTTTGAAATAACAGCCATTTCGAGCCGCATACTTCTCATAAGTGCAGCTCTGCGTTCTACTGGATCAGAGCCAAGACAGCGGCGCCAAAACCCACAACAGCTTCGGCACCTTTGCGCACAGAGAACTGCTTTTTTAATCTTCCCGTTCTTCTGTGTTGGGGGTTAAAGCTCTTTAGCAGCAAACGACGGCTCGTTCACATGGTCAGAGCAGCGAGTGACGAGCCGCGTCTCGCAGGTCTCTTCTAAAGTTTAAATACAGTGATGTGTGTGGAGCTGATGCCAAGGACCATAAGCACAAACGTGTTCCTATGTGGTTTGACTGAAGCCGCGTATTTGGGCTACGTGACACAGAGGAGCGTGACAGACCGGTATGTGTGTGTATATGTATGTGTGTGTATATGTATGTGTGTGTATATGTGTGTGTATGCTCCAATGTAGTTCTAACCCGCACAAGAGTATGGATGATGCGTGTAGATGTTACGTATGAATGGAACGGGGAAAAGGTGCGCGAGTGTGAAATGGCACTTGTGTGTGTGTGCGTGCGTGCGTGAATGTGTGCTTTTGTGTGCGTGTGTGCGCGGCGCATGCGGCATGAAAGTCTGCTCGGAGTTTAATACATTGGCGCACACAGCTAAAGACAGACCCGCTCGTCACATCGTGCAAATAGAGTTTAAAACAGCATTATTACGAGACCTCCTCTCTCCCACTTTTCTTTTTTTAACCGACAGCTTTGACCGGTTAACGCTGTGACGGTCAACCACCGGTTAACCGGTCACCGATTTACATCCCTACTTCATGAACTATGAACTATTTGAGTCTTTCAGTCAATTGTGTTGATACAACAAACACATCCAAAGTAATACAGTTCTACAGAAAGTGATTAATGGAGGAAAAACTACCAAGAGGTGGATTAATTAAACACAACAAACCATTTATTCCCAATAAATAAATACATTTACTTTGCAACACAAAATGTATTATGGGTAGACCAGGATTCGAACGATATATCTTCTACTTCGGAGTCCGTCATATACCGACTGCGCCACACAGCTGTTGTGAAATGTATTATCCAGCGTATTATTAGTACTAACTTGAAGCCTTGATATATGAGGTTTTACTAAAGTGAAACGTTTTTAATTGTATTTCATATGAAGTAGTTTCTCTATACTTAGTACAGGACTGCTCCACATCACGCCCACACACACGTACGCACACAGAAGCAGACGGGGACAGCCAATACAGTCTATGGCAGTGTTTTTCAACCTTTTTTGAGCCAAGGCACACTTTTTTCACTGAAAAAATCTTGCGGCACACCTCCAGGAGAAAATGTAAAAATGTATACAGTACTAATGTAAAAAAATATATACTGTACATACTCTGTGTGATATATAAAGTATATCTTATCTTATCTTATAATGTATACAGTATACTCTGTAGCCTATATTCACAATATACAGTTATTCTCATCAAAATGCTTAAGTCCAGGCCTTGACATTAAGCTTTATTTAATATTTCTCGATACAATTAACAAGAGTTTGGGAATAAAGTGGCACTAACTGTGTGGAAAAAAACTAAGAAAATCCACTCTCTGCCCAAATAGTCAAATAATAACTTACACAAAGAACATGCATTGTTAGTGCATGGGAAAAATGTAGGTATCCGAGCTTTAAATTCAGGAGTTTTGGATGAGGGACACGGGAGGTCCTGAACGCGAGTCCATGGTTCTGTCCGGTCCGCATGTCTGTGGTTCTGTCCACTCGACTATGGTCTGCGCTCGGTACCCAGTTCAGAAGTGCGTTCGCGAGAGCTGTTGTACAAAAATTGTACATTTCATAGTTAAACCACTACAACGCGGCCACAGCTGCCCCGGGGCAGAGCGGAGGATGTTAATCCTGTTCAGAAACGGCATAATTCATTTTCAAAAACGTCTCTATCACTTTCACTTCTCACTCGCCACAAAGCTCTTGTCTCGCTCCCTCCCACATTTGTTGGTCGCATCCAATTTGACCTTTCTCGCCACAATGCTGACCTGTTACAGCCAGTGGTCGCATCCAATTTTTCAGTTTCAAAGTACTTAGCTATCTGCTGCCATCTACTGATTTGAAAAAGTATTACATGGTTACTCCACAGTTCAAAACAAGTCACCGCTCGTCAACAGCGAATGCAGTTATTTTTAGACAAAGTAGACGATTTTTTCACTGCACACCAGACAATATCATACGGCACACTAGTGTGCCGCGGCACAGTGGTTGAAAAACACTGGTCTATGGTACAGCCGCGGATCACAAAGCACCTGTCAAAGCAATGCACTCTCCGAACTATATGAAGCACTATATGAACCGTCACGTGGTGCGGCCGCTACGCGAGGCTTCGAACGTCACCAACGTCACCAACACACGCCTCGACCCACACTTCAAAAAATACGCCCCTTTTTTACTCGGTACACGCTTCGAAGACCTGGCACGCTCAGCACATCACTAGGGTTACAGACCTCAAATTACACCTATGTACGGACCTCATAATTGAGGATATATTAACATGAGTAAAGGTTTAACTTTTTTAATAATAACAGGTTTTAACCACATTAAAACTGCTTGAATAATGTATGTTTTTAATACTATTTTGACTTGAGTTATGTTTAAACTTGTTAACACACTTATAAACAGTTCATTATCGAAAGTTATTTGTTATTTCTATACAATTTAAACACATATAAAATCATGTTGGATGGATGTCTCAGTAGGACTTATATTTTAGTTTAATACTGAACATTACATTACAACATTACAGCTGTCATCTTCAAAACAGAGCCAACACAAGCTAGCTCTGTGCTAACGCGGCTAACGCTAACAGCGGCTCTCCGTGGCTCACGCTGCGGGGTTTGGGGGCTCGGGGAGAGGCTCACTCACCTCCCGCAGAAACCCTCCGGTCTCCGGGAGCGGAGCAGAGACACAAAGCGGCCGCTCCAGGCCATCAGCAGCCTGGGAGAGACAGACAGAGTGGGGGCATGGAAGTATGAAAGTGTGGAATAGAGGGCAGGACATAGACCCGGGATAGAGGGGTAGCGCCGCTCGCAGGCTGCAGAGGGGACTGCAGGACAGGGCTCGTTAAAAAAACTTTTATATATTTACTAAAGATACGAGGACTTGTTAAAGCTGGGATTTGTTTGTTCGTTTGTTATATTTACGCTAGATCCCCAGTTGCTACTGATACATGCAGTAGCTTTTCTTCCTAGGGTTCCATCTTCTTCCCCATAATCTATTTCTTAGGCCCAATCCCAATACCCACACTGCACCCTACACACTTCTACGAAGTGTGCATTTTGTTCGAAGTGCACACCAGGGTTGGAGTGCGCAGGTTACAAGTGTGCAAAAAAGGCGGAATGGGGACAGTGCACACTGAGTGCAGGATACGTCATCGACTCGTCAAGAGATGGTCATTTTCAGACCTAAACTTTATAAACATTAAAGGTAATTTTGTCTGACCCTTTGGGAAACAAAATGAATTGCTTCACACACGTTAGAATACATGTATATTAGTTGTTTTTAATTAGAGATAGCTGTATAATTTTAAGTTGAATGTGGTTAAAGTTAAAACAAACTATCTGGTCAGTTTTTATACATTCTAAGATTATTGTACTAAGTATAACGTTTAAATTGAATGTTGTATAAACGCTTGCTTTAAAAAGTTATTAAATTGTTAAAACACAATGCCCATTGGCGCAACGCATTATGGGAGATCATCCACTGCGCAGAACCGGGAGGACCAGACGATGCCCAAATACAGGCGAGTTTCCCATAGATCTTTGCGAGTTTCAGGCAACTTCCGCTAATCTTTCGACACCTGTCACTCCCGGATTCGTCCCGGAAACCGGATTCGTCCGGAAGTTCAGTTTGCCCATGTCAAAAAGTTTAATATGTCCTTAAGTGGTGACTGGTTAAAGCAGCAGTAAGCGATTTTTGGGTGTTAATATACGTCTTAAATATTGATATATTCCAATAGCCATCACTTATATAGAGTGTTTGTACCTAAACACGGATCTCTCAGTCCTTCCAGTCTTCTCCCACCTATATATTAAAAAAACCTCACATCCTATGCGCTTATCCAATGACGAGAGAGCACGCCTTATAAGGGGTTTCTCCCGTGTGTGCACGCGCACTCTTCAAAACAAACATGGCGGAGAAGGAAAAGCCGCCTCCAGCGCTGCCGCAGACTAAATACCATGGATTTATTAAATACAGGCAAAACGCCAGAAACAGAGGAACGACAAAAAGTAGGAGCAACATGGTGACCAGCTGCATTCATGTTGGCGACCTCTAGCTCCGTGGATTCCTCTCTCCGACTGAACAGGTGAGCATGTTACTCAGTAGTGGCAGTAGTAGTTGTATTATTTATACATATTGTTGCCTGAGACTGTAATGCGGGCTTTCACCAAGTTAGCTAGTTAAAAATCCCCAGCTGTTGTAGAAATACGGCCGCATTTTGTGGCAATAACTGCGCATTACCTTGGCTTAGCTTTGAGAAACAACAACAGACAACACAACATCGAAGCCTTAGCCCAGCCTCAGCCATCCATAAACTCCGGTCAATTATTAGTTCCCCACATGTACAACATTAAATGACCATATCACCAGAGTTCCCCCGTGAAGTGGTGTTAGCATTAGCGTTCGCTGTTAGCATTAGCGTTCGCTGTTAGCATTAGCGTTAGCTGTTAGCATTAGCGTTCGCTGTTAGCATTAGCGTTCGCTGTTAGCATTAGCGTTAGCTGTTAGCATTAGCGTTCGCTGTTAGCATTAGCGTTAGCTGTTAGCATTAGCGTTCGCTGTTAGCATTAGCGTTCGCTGTTAGCATTAGCGTTAGCTGTTAGCATTAGCGTTCGCTGTTAGCATTAGCGTTAGCTGTTAGCATTAGCGTTAGCTGTTAGCATTAGCTGTCTGTAGTTGTGAATATGATGTGGCTGCTACGAACACTTCTGATCTGTATGAATCGTTTGTTTTTGCCAATAAACATAGTTGCTTGCACTATATATATATATATATATGTAGGTCTGCATTTCATTCTTCAATGACTAAGTTTTGCAACTTGCACTCTGTATATTAGTTTTATTGTTATAAAAACAATATCTCTTTACCTCAAATCTAACTTCCGTGACCACTACATACATTTTTATTATTATGTATTGAGAATAAGTAAGAAAAGTCTTGCTGACTACTACCAAATAAATTATGAGCATGATATAATATAGACATTGTAATAATTTACATGTCTTCATTGCATTCTTTTCTCTGTATCTTTTCCAGTATGGCCTAAATCAATTGGAATGAGGTCTTCAATGTACAAGAGTTCAAAAGCCTCCATAATGCAAGTTAAATAACTATAAAAAAAAAAAATGCCATAACGACTAGATACTTTTCTGCTGACCTCTTCTTTCTCTAGTATTGACTGAAGACAAGACTTTGCTTCCAGAATTAGAAGAATGGCCATTGTCATCTCCTGAGGAAGACTTTACACCCCACATTTGTCATGTAGGTTGTTGTGAATGCATATATGGGACGCAGTGATTATGATGATGATGATGTTGTGATGTGTGTGTCGTTCATCCCTACAGTTGTGTTGCTGCCCTGAGGTCCAAAATGAATATCCATCATGTTCCAGGAGTCAGTGTTGACAAAACTGTCGCTGAGTTTCTTCAACAATCAAGAGGAGTGAGATAATCACTCGACTCCCAAAACAGCCGATGTAAGTGTCTTTCTCTCACAATGCACAGTCTCTCACAGTCCAAATAAACATGTTCAAGGATCCTGTGGATCAGGGGCCACTCCTGGTGACCAATAAATACTGATGTTGTTGATGATGAATATATCAAAGTCATATTTGAGTAGATAAAACTGATGTCTCCTCTATTATGTTTCAAAGGAAAATCTCTGCCAGAGGAAGACTCCAGTTCCTTCAACCTGGGCCCCTGAAGCGTGGCTGTGTGTGCGTGTGACTGTGTGTGCGTGTGACTGTGTGTGCGTGTGACTGTGTGTGCGTGTGACTGTGTGTGCGTGTGACTGTGTGTGCGTGTGTCTGTGTGTGCGTGTGACTGTGTGTGCGTGTGACTGTGTGTGCTTGTGACTGTGTGTGCTTGTGACTGTGTGTGCTTGTGACTGTGTGTGCTTGTGACTGTGTGTGCTTGTGACTGTGTGTGCTTGTGGCTGTGTGTGACTGTGTGTGCTTGTGACTGTGTGTGCGTGTGACTGTGTGTGCGTGTGACTGTGTGTGCTTGTGGCTGTGTGTGCGTGGCTGCTTATGAATTATTTTGAGGAAATGTGTTCAAACAAGCTACAACATAAAGATTAACATTTTGTTAGATATCTCTGATAGTGTTCGCTGCAGCAGCGATGGATAAGGACCTGGATAATAACAGTGTTATTCATTTGAGCAAAAAGTGATAACACAAACGTTGCCTTACCATCACTTGTAATTATTCGTCTTAGTAGGGACATTGTGTATATTTTTCTGGCTATAACTTCAAATCTTCTTTTACATAATAAAGTTTCTTAGACTCGTTACAGACTGTATTTGTTTTCCTACTATAAAACAAAGCACATTGAAAGAGGTGAATGTATTTTTTTTTATTTTGAAATAGTACAACTACAAACATATTTCAGAACTGCAGAGTGGACGTGCACCATGGGGGCCACTGAGGACGTGCACCATGGGGGCCGCTGAGGACGTGCACCATGGGGGCCGCTGAGGACGTGCACCATGGGGGCCGCTGAGGAAAGCACGTTTTCAATGTCTGTTGGCACCTTTCACAGACGCATCAGGGAAAGGATCTGGTCATCAGCTTCTCTGGACAGAGGGCGTTCAGTGCTTCCTGGAAAGAACCGTTATGACAAATGACTTTATATATTCTGTTACTTGTAGCTTTTCTTTCAAAGTGGTGAGTTTCCTTACAGTGTAATAGTGTAACGTAATTAGTTATGACAGTACTTTTGCGTTTCGGACAAGCTTTACTGGAATTGTTTTTCAGTCCCACATCTCACTGTACAGCTCTGATACACTTTGATTTTGTCTTCATTCTCTGAACAATAAGCACATAATACAGATGTTGATTACATCAATAAATGTATCTTTATTTTGTGACATTGAGAAGGCAGCTTCCAGTGAGATGCAGCTTTACTTTCACACAATACATTATTACAGTGTTGTCTATAAAGAACTCCAAATATACAAATTGTGAGGAAAGCAGTAATGTATTACTTTAAATAACCTTCATGTAAAGCTTTGTTGTTGTAATGTATATGCATTACATTCATCTAATACATATGCACTGTAACAGATGTTACAGTGCATAATGTTGAGACACGTCACACTGCAATCTGCAACAGTATGTTTATCACATCAGTTATCAGTGTACCAACTATAAAAGCAGTATTATTCAATAAAAGACTGGATTGTTTTTATCTCTTTCTTAGTGATGCTATCCTAGCTAACACCAAGCTGCTTCCAGTGTTATAGCTAGGTTACAACTGAGCTATTCTATGCTAATATTTCACTCCCAGAGTTTGTTGTTAATATACTTACGAGTAGACCTGACGGAGATGAACATGCTGCTGCCATCACCAACACGATGCGCGTTCATGTGGTGTGACGTAGGGACGGGGGCGGGGCTACTAACTCGCTCAGGCAGAAGAAACTGCCGGAAACGACCAAATCGCTTACTGCTGCTTTAAGTTTAGGCGTCTGATTAAGATGGTTAAGTTTAGGGTTAAGGCTGGGTTGGGGTTATTTTATGGGAATGGCTGGTTAAGTTTAGGCATGAATAGGTAGTTTTTTATATTGACTTCCCGCTTCCGTCCAGATTCCGTGACGGTAGTTTTCAACTTGGGATTTGAACACAGAGGTAGACCCTGTCCTGGGTCCTTCGTACAGTGCACCATGTCACTTATAACTTAGGAGCTGAACTATGATTTTAAGTTTTGATGATTCAGGTATAGCAGTTTTGGTTTATGCTGCATCAACTGAAGGATATTTGTAATTTTATACTCTTATCTCAATAATAAAATAATAATCTTTTATTCCGGACTCAAGGTCCATACAAGAACAACATACAAGGACACACAAGACACAGAAACATAATAAAATAAAAATTGCTAAAGTCTAAGGAACTCATTTACAAGACACTTGTACCATGCTTTCCGCAGAACTGAGAACTACGCGTGTTGTACTGAACTTGGCATAACACCAAAACCCCCAACAACCAGGTTCACAGACCGTTCAATTTGGCGACTAAAACAAAATTTCCTCAGGACACAGAGTTCAGTGTGTCACTCTGTTGCTCACAGGTACAAACTCACATCGCCTGAGTCGATCGCGGCTTTTTAACAGCATCCACAGAGCGCCAATGTACTCGTGATATGAATAATTTTTCTGCAGTTAGTGCAGACAGATCTTTAACCCACGATTTTAGAAAAGTAGATTACATGTTGTTTTTTGATTTTTGATTTGTTTGCCATCATATTGTGACTTTATCATGGCTACTCAATTCCATTTGTAGTGCAATTTGTCCATAACTTAAAACCTTAACCAAAACAAATCAAAAGGCTACTGTAGGCATTTAGTGTCCAAAACAAAATGGTGCATTCAGTGTTATAATGAACACACCTAGACTCACAGTTTGCAAATCATGCAAACAGCACCATATGTTTCAAAACGCTGCGCACGCTTCTCTCCATACCCTATTTAAACCCATGTGACCTAAAATAACATGGAATAAACCACTATAAAATGCAAATTCCAGATTAATAAGAAAAGAGAAGAAAACGTTTTTGTCCCAAAGTGGGGAAATCTCAATCAAGTAGAAAAACAAAACATCTAAAAATTGGACAAAGGGCTTCCAACAATTTGTGTATTCGCCCTAAAAATCACATAACAGTCTCATGAAGACAAAGTTGAGGATTCCAACACAGATCAGAGAATCAAACGGTTCGAAAATGTAGAAATACTTAATAACAAACACATAGAGCCCATTGATTTCATAATCGGTTAATTACATTTCATAATGATCGAACTCCTGGACATCATTAAATGACAAACTAAAGACCACACACTTTTTTTAACTCATAAACTGCATGAAGATGTTTCAAACAGTACTCTCACATGTCCTGATCAATTTTTTTGAAATTTTGTGCCAAATTAATAAAATCTCATTTGAGCCTAAACAAGTCGGTGTGGCCCCTCTCTAAAGTTTTCATGGTGGCACTACATTTGGATTTTGCACCTGGGCCTCGTCGTTGGCTCTGGTTCGGCTGTGTGACATTGATTTTTTTTTTTCAGATTTTTTTTGATGGGTGTGAGACAGAGCGAGCGTCACACCGCCTGGACCTTGGCCAACTCTAAAGCTCACCGAACACGACCCGACCCGAACGCAGCGCCTCGCGGCGCGTCATTTGACGCGCTTCATGACATGTGTCCCCAATTTACACCGGACGCCGTTGGCTACGTCTTTTCCAGCTGGATCGCAAGATGAAATGTTGAAGGTGACGTTTGGAAGTTCTACTAATATTTTGGGGAGGAAACAAAGTATTTTAACGTGAAATTAAGCCTGGCAAATAGTACAAGAAAAGACTTTGGGACCCATTTTTTTAACAGGCTAATAACTAGCTCTGGGTAACGCTGTACTTTGGGTTATCAAGCTATTTCTCGTCCATTGTGACCGTTTTTTACTTGAGCAAGAGCGCCGGACAAGTGTGTAAATGTGAGACGCGGCTCACAGCTACGTATAAGACGCGCAGAAGAAGAAAACTACGGGTGCTTGGAGGGACAGTTTTTCAGCCGCGGTCGCCGCGTCTGGATCAACAAAATTGAATCGATAGGCGCCGGATCCATCGTCGCCGCGCGTCACTGCAACATTGGTGTGCGTTCTCAATCATAGAAACAAAAGGGGCGGCTCTTTTGCCAGCGCGTCAAGGCCTTTCGGTGTGCGTTGGGCTTAAGCCCCCCCTTCCATGGTCCCCATGTGACCGTGGTGCAATGCCCCTTTTTAAGAGAATTTGAAATGTTCATAGCGGGTGGAAAAAGGCTGGGCCAGGTGTTTATTTTTCCTTTAACGATTGAAATGAATGTGTGCCAGGTCCTGATCGAGGTCCCAGGCCTGTGGAGTGAACTCCTGTTGAGACGTACATGTCGCCACGGGGATGTTTGCCCGAAGCCTATCACTGCGTACTCGCCGGGTCAGATGTTCGTCGGGATGGTGCATTGGCGTCCGGTGAAGGGGTCAGCTGGCCCTCCAAGGTCAGTGGAACATGTTTTTAAAGTCGTATCAATGTCAACCTTTATTTGGTATAGCACATTAACAATAACACCAGCGGCTCAAATCGCAAAATAATAATATTAAATACACACAAGTAAGTAAAAATGTCAAACTGTGGAACTTATGTTTGTGTATTAGTCTTGAACTTAAAGGCTTAAACTATTTCCTCAACTATTTGGTGGATCACCTTTTGAGTCCTTTGGAATTCCATTTTATAAAAAAAAATAAATAAATAAAAATACTGTTGTAGTTTTTTATATCCTTCCCCTCGCTAATATCAGATCTTCTTTCTGTATCTAAAAGCCTTTTTGTGTTGGCGTACTTTTCTGGACTAATAAGGTGCACGATAAGCTACTTTTTTCCTTTCTACAACAAATTCCACATATGGGCCCACCTGAGTAAACAACTGACACACAATGATTTATTACAAGGTTTTTAATATCCTCACAATTAGCTTCTTTGACTCGGAACATATAAGATAACTGGTAGATCAATAGATAATCAAGCAAGCTTTATTTATCTACGCCATTCATCAGACCAAGTCACAAAGCGGTTACAATGTTAATTTTTGGGCACTGTCGTCTCACTCCACACAGAGATGGGAGCCGGGGTATCGCCGAACACATGCGCAAATGCAGTATAGATAGATAGCCTCAGGTCTAACAGTCCCCTAAATCCAGCAGCTACACATATATCACCTTTTTAATGATTGCTTTTATTTATTTATTGAAGGGACATGTGTACCCAATCAACATGTGAAAACACTACAAACATCTTATAGCCTTAGGCTAATTTGCAGGGGTCCATCCTTAGAAATGGCTCTTTAACACAATTTATTTCGATACAATGTAATCAAACAATAAATATCATTCAGATCTTGAGCCTTTCCAGATTATAATATTTAAAGACCTATGCCGGGTTTGATTTATTTAGAAATAACAGTTTTAATACCATTTTATATTAGGAAGAGAACAACTAAAGGTCAACTCAGTTGTTGTTTTTTTTGTCTGATCCCGCCCCAGCATCAAAATAACACCCATAGCAACGCCTTAGAGACAAAAAACTTCACAAGCCCTTGGTGACGTCAGAGTGGGTACGTTCAACGCTGTATGGTTTACAATTAGGTATTCGTTCTTTTCGCGGGATAGTCAAGATGACAAGCCGTGTTACACGAGTATAATACAAGATTGCCAACTCCTTCGTTGGCACTGAATAGTCCAGTGGTTGTGTCCGATGACTGCCAATCACCAGATATCTGGGTTCAATATCCACTTCAGACACATTTTCACCTCTCTAAACGGCAATTTATGTGTAGTGAGCATTGTCACCTGGAGAAGTGCATTATTGTGTTGGGCATCAGTGGAGAGAAAGAAGAAAAAAGGCAGTCCTGTGGCATAGATCCTTGTTTTTCAAGCATGGGCGTTACCACGCTGTTGACGTCACACACTAGTTTAGAGCAAAGACAACACTAAATTCGTGAAAAAACTTTTTTCGCCCGGATTCTGTTTCAGACGACATTGTCTCTCAATTTTGGATATCTACACTAAGTTTTTTTTTTAAACCCCCGGCATAAGGTCTAAATATTTTTATTTAAAACTCCATCCAGATTGGGATCAAAGTGTTTGCTGTCTCACGGTACGGGAGGCTACGCAGAATTCACTGTTGCCTCTGACGGACTGCGTTTATAAACTCCCGACGGTTGGACTCCGCCCAAGGAGCCCGCCATTGGGATCCCCTATTTCACTGCGAGCGAGCTCTGGGTCACCGGTAAAGTCTCTGTACAAAGAACAGAATTTACAAATGTAGACATGTTGATAATACGCAGTAATGGTTCTGTTATTCCCAGAGCAAAAGCTAAACCAGGAGAGACGTGCTGATTCACGAGCCAGTGGAGGGGAGTGAGTCTTCTGATGTTTAACTTGGTTTGGTTTGGGGACATAGAAAGATGGAGAGTACATACAATAGATACATCTACATACATACATAGATGGGTTTCGTTGCTCACACTGCAACAGACAAAAACATGGTGGAATTTCCATTGGTAAAACAGTCTGATGGATCGTTATGAAAACCTCTTGTGTAGGTTGGGTTGACGCCGCAAGTCACTGTCCCTCGTGCTCTTTGGACTCAGAGTTCTGGGAACTGCAGGGACTAACGGAGGGACTCCAACGGTTTCTGAGAAAGGAGCTCATCTTGCGTTCAACCATCGGGAAGAACGATACCCACAACAAAATCAGGGTACCTTCTACCAGTCTTGAACACAGTTCTCGTTGTGTCTGACTAAGTTGAGTTGCTAAACAGTGATAAAATGCTTTGTACAAAACCATAGCAACATTGAGCAACATCTTCAGACAGTTTAGTTGGAAAATGTTGCTTTATTTCCTTCTTTGAGGTACTGAGAGAAATTGCATACGCTAGAGACCTGAACCTACAGACACACAGATTATCTCAGCCTGACTGTCATGTGATGTAATTTACTTCGACCACTAGACTCTCGCCATAAATACAAAACTCACTACAGCGTGTGTGAGTTTAAAACGGTACGATTTCCTGGGTTGTAATTGGATCTGAAAGAAATGAGTCCCTCCGTGTTTTGTAGAAAATAGGTTAGGTATGAAGTTTCCCATAGACTGTTTGCCAGCGTTGTTATTTTGAAATGTGTATCTAATGAAGAGAAATCTAAGAAGTTTAGTTCACCAGCCTCCGTAGAGTGGTGATTACAGATTTATGAGAGAATTTGTTTAATTTTCCGCATGAAATTAAAGAGAAATTATGGGCAATTGTTTTACTATGTTTGGTTCAACATAAAGAGCTTGCTGAGTATAATTAGCCTGGAGATGCCTTAACGCTTTTGTTTAAAGTTCTTCCTTGGCCAGGGATGAATCTCTCAGCAACATTGGTTAAACCTCTCCGACCTGGCGATGAGGGTCAACATTTGATTTACCCGCCATTCTTTCTCATCCTAGTTATATTAATACCCAACGTAATGTAACTCCCTGATTTTTGGATATACAGTGCCTCGCGGCTGGATGGTGTCGAAGGCACTGGAGAAATCAAAGAGGATCCTCACAGCGGAGCAGGGTTTCTCCAGGTGGGACAGGGAGCGATGGAAGAGGAAGATGATGGCGTCCTCGACTCCGATGGCCACTGGCCTGAAGTCGCTGAGGTCTCTGGCCCGTGGTTTCTTGGGCACCGGTACCACACAGGAGGTCTTCCAGAGCTGTGGTACCGCCCTCAGCTTGAGGCTCAGGTTGAAGACGCGCTCCATCACTCCACAGAGTTTGTCTGCACAGGAGCGAAGGAGCCTGGAGCTGATGTTATCTGGTCCTGGTGCCTTTCTGGTCTTTATCCTCCTCATCTCTGTCCTCACCTGAGCAGCGGTGAATGACAGGGGGGTGCAGGGGGGCTGGGTGGAGTGGGTGCTGAGTAGGGAGGACGGGGGCTCAGTGGGGGGGGGGGTGTCCCTGGGAGGGCTGGTGGGGCCGTGGGAGGAAGACTGTGGTGGCATGACAGAGGTGTGAACGATCGTAGGTGTTGCCCTTTGTTCCGCTGCCGGAGTGAGGGGGAGCCTCTGCGCAGGGGGAGGGGGAGGCTGGTCAAAGCGAGCGAAGAATGTATTTAGCTCGTTTGCCCACAGCTGGTCTCCTGTGGACTGACTGGGGGGTGTTTTGAAGCCTGACATGGATTTGAGGCCTCTCCACACCCCCCGCACGTCCTGCCGAGCCAGTTGCTCCTTCATCTTCCTCCTGTAGATGTTTTTAGCTACGCGTATATTCCACCTCAACTTCCTTTGTGCAGATTTAAGGGCTTCCTTATCCCCTGACTTAAAAGCCCGCTTTTTGTCCTTAAGCAGAGCTTTGATGTCAGGGTTGATCCACGGCTTATTGTTTGGGAAACACCGTACAGTGCGGCCAGGTACGGTGTTCTCAAAGCAAAAGTTAATGTAGGAGGCTGGAGAGGCGTGATTAAAATCTCCCGTGATGATAAACAGGGCCTGTGGGTGCTGTGTTTGTAGACTGCTCATGGTGGAAAAGAGGCTCTCACATGCATTGTCAGCTTTGGCCGAAGGGGGTATATACACTGCTGTAACAATAACGTGACTATACTCCCGTGGCAGATAGTATGGACGCATGCCAATAACCAAAAGCTCAATGTCTATGCAACAAACCTGGCTCTTTACTGTGCAGTGCGCTGGCTTGCAATAGTCCGTATTCACAAACACAGCCAGACCCCCGCCTCTCCTCTTCCCACTCGCGGCTGTCCAGTCCGCCAGTCCGGATTATCAGAGGTCAGCCATGTCTCTGTGTATATCTGGAGGCTGCAGTGTTTATATTCCCTCTGATAACGCGTCAGGCTGGCCAGCTCGTCTGCCTTGTTGGTCAACGAGCGCACGTTCCCGGTGGTAACGGAGGGCAGAGCGGGTCTGGATCCTCGCCTTCTCCCTCGTACTTTCTGCCCAGCGCGGCGGCTCCTGCGCGTCTTAAGCAGCAGCTCGTCCGGGATGTTGTGTCTGTCCTCCGGGAGCACTGCCTCGCAGCGCTAGTAAGCTCTTCCTGGAGTACGAGACAATGGGCGCGCGGGGCACTCGGGGCACACTCGGGCAGCTCAGACACATAGTGTCCAATCCAGTCCCAAAAACACGGAGAAAGTTGGAAAAGACTCTTCCCTCTACTGTGCATTAGCCTCATGTAGCTATGTGTTCAAAAATATTTACAAAATCAAGCGTGAAAAGTGAAAAAGGAGCAAAAAGAGGGGGAGCGCGATGCAACGGGCTGCTGGCAGCTTGCCTGCGCCTCACTACTCACGTAGTTCATTAAAATGCAGCCTAAAGACCTCTCAAAAGTGGAAATTGTGTCTGGATTTAATGGTTTGGCTGCAAGAGTTTTTTATTCAAAACCTCTAGACTGCACAGTGACCTATAAAACAGGAGAAAAGCAGATGTTCCA